CTTTCCTCTAGTTCTTAAATGCTTCCTCCTCTCCCACTATCACGATCCCAGTTCTACCTTACAAACCTGGCTAGACCAGAGAATGTACCAGTAGCCAACATTGATGGCAGTGAGTTATGGTTTAGTGGTTGTGTGGTGGGCTGCAGTCTGCATGGCCAGCACTTCAAAACAACCAGCTGCTCTGCGTGAGAAAGACTGAACTTTTTATTCCCTTTAACACTTCATTTAAGAAACCCACAGGGGGTCACTATCAGAATGGCAGTGAATGAAATGATAATGTATCTTATAATTCTACTTTTCTATAAACTTTGAAACTCCTTGCATATATTACTTTTTTGTTGTTTAAGTTATTAAACTTATTTTAAAATTTCTTTGGAAGCATTTTTAATAACTAATCCAGTTAACATGATTTCATTAACTAGTACTGACATAATACTTTTTCATATTATTCATTTTATTGGGAGCTCTTAAGATGTTGTGACTATTCATAATTTAATCAGATCAAGTATAATTGTACAATTGTTGCCGCCATCAGTTTCAAAACATTTCCTTGAACTCCTTGGTATCAGCTCCCCTTTAGCTCCTGCTTCCCCTCCCCAGGACACTTGTTGTTATGTTACACATAATTATTATTGTTGTTTCCCATACCTTACACCATACAATATATATCCATTCAACTACAATTCTGTTCATTGTTTCCCTTGAGTGAGGTTATACCGTCATCACTGCTATCCGTTCCCCATTTCCCACCCCCACCCCTCCTGTATCCTCAGTGAATCATTATTTCCATTACTGTTTCTGAAGAATTATCTATCTTGGCTTTCATGCATCAAACCATCATGATTATACAAATGAACATACTCATGTCTAACAAGATTAATGAAGTAAAACAAAAACTATAATAGTAAGGAGAGGAAATATTAAAGAACTAGAGGATAGTTATATGGTTCATCAATGTTATACTGTACCCTGGACTTAACATCCCTTCTGTGAGAGACAGGCTATCTTACAGATAGTTTGGGGTCTCTATTTTGTCCACACTCCTTCACATCAATTTGATTGCTTTTTTTTTTTTTTTTTGCTCTTCTGATATCTATTCCTGTTGACACCTCATGATTTCCCAGGATGGTATGCTTCTTCCATGTGGACTTGTTGCTTTTCTGCTAGATGGCTGCTTGTTTAACTTCAAGCCTTTAAGACCCCATACACTATGTCTTTAATAGCTGGGCACCATCCGCTTTCTTCACCACATTTGTTTATATTCCCATTTTGTCTGTGGCGATAGTGTTAGGAAGGTAAGTATCATACAGTGCCAACTTATTAGAGCATACCATTCTTGTTACTGAGGTAAGATTTGAGTAGAGGCTCAAATAGCACTTATGACTAGTACTGTATTGGTTTCTTAAAGATGGCTTCAGTTAAACCCCCTCCAATAATAATAGTGTGAGTTTGTACTTAATATTCTTTACACATTTACATATATTGGATCCTGACCCATGTATACCTTCAAAATTTGCTTCCTCTGGACTATCTCAATTATAAAAATATATTAAATGATGTGTCTGTCTATTGTAGTGAACCACTTGAGAATACTTATATAATGTTATTGTCACTTCTATGTTTCAGCTTCTTCTAGATTAGGCCGAGCACTTGCTGAGCTCTTTGGACTCCTTGTTAAACTTTGTGTGGGGTCTCCTGTCCGTCAGAGAAGGAGCCATCATGCTGCCAGCACTACTACAGCACCGACACCCGCTGCACGATCAACAGCCTCAGCTCTCACTAAGCTTCTCACAAAAGGCTTATCTTGGCAGCCACCACCATATACACCTACACCCCGTTTTAGGTAGGTTTTACTTGATACAGGAAATACTGAAGTGAAGGTTTTTGAGGTCCTTTGTTTATTTTAAATTTGTAGCCCAAATGCAATATAAAATACTTACTTTGGATATACCTTATCTAGAATGTAGAAATTTTAAATTATTTGCAGTCAAGCCACATTTCAATAAAATACGTTCTTTAGAAATTTTAAAGAGCCCTAGTGGCCTAGTTGGTTACTTGTTGAGCTGCTAGCCACAAGATCAGTTACCAAGCCCACCAGTCACTACTGGAGAAAGATGAGCCTGTCTGTCCCTATAATGATTTAAGGTCTTCTAAACTAGAAGAAGGCACTTCTATTTATAGGGTCCATTTGAGTCACTATCTGGCAGTAATTTGAGAGAGTAGTTGGGAATTGTAGCCTTTTGGCCTTTGCATGCATTTCCCATTGCTTCTTAACTTAAAAGAAGCTTATGTTTTTGCCTTTTTTTTCTCTTGTAGACTGACATTCTTCATCTGTTCAGTTGGTTTCACATCCCCAATGCTGTTTGATGAGCGGAAGTATCCTTACCACCTCATGCTGCAGAAATTTCTCTGCTCTGGAGGCCACAATGCTCTCTTTGAGTAAGAATCAAGTTCCTATTCCTTCGCTGGAATAGACCTTTTCTCTGTGCCTTAGCAGTTCACCATTTTTCAAGTCACATATCCTTGGAACTTGCCATGTTCGTTTTTATCATCCTTGGAGGGTGGGATTCATCCTGTCCTAAAGAAGTTTGCAAGGGTCTCTGCCTTTCTTCATTTTCCTGTTACATATTTTTCTAATAGACTTTGTCTTTTTCTGTTGTTTTACTGAATGTGATAATGTATTTTCATGTTTGATGCAAAGCCAAGTTTCACTCGCTTTAGGAAAAAGACATTAAAAATAAAGCTAATTAATTTTTGGAAGAGTGAAAGTAATATTTCTAATACAAGGAATCCTTTATCTGAAATATCAATACTCTCTCTCCATAACTTCTCATTTAATTTAGAACTTTTAATTGGGCGCTGTCCATGGGAGGCAAAGTTCCAGTTTCTGAGGGGTTGGAACATTCAGAATTACCTGATGGTACAGGAGAATTCTTAGATGCCTGGCTAATGCTGGTGGAGAAAATGGTGAATCCTACCACGGTGCTTGAATCTCCACATTCGCTGCCTGCCAAATTGCCTGGAGGTGCCCAGAACTTTCCACAATTCAGTGCCCTACGTTTCCTTGTGGTAACTCAGAAAGTACGTATTCTACTTATTCAACATTTTAGAACCAAGTTTTTCTCGTAATGACTTTTTACTTCCTTAATGAGATAACTTGATTGGTTCATACATCTTATCAGATTAGGACTACCTTACAGGGATCGACACCATCTAAGAATTTTTCATGGTGAAAATACTTGAAATGTAAAGTTCAGATTGGTTTTTCCAAGTTTAGTTGAACGTCCTTTCTCTGTGATTCCTTTGTCCCTTCAGGGTCTTCCTTAGGATAATGGGTTTCATCGAGGCTTTTTTTAGTTGTTGTTGTTATTCTTGGAGTGTCCCAGGGGGCTTGGAATTGGAGCAAAAATATCTTCATGCGACTTTTCAAATAATTTATAGGCAGCCTTTACTTGCATCAAGAATCTTTGGAATCGGAAACCCCTGAAGGTGTATGGAGGGCGAATGGCTGAATCCATGCTGGCCATTTTGTGCCACATTCTTCGAGGAGAACCTGTGATTCGAGAGAGACTGAGCAAAGAGAAGGAAGGTTCTCGAGGAGATGATGAAGCAGGACAAGAAGAAGGTGGCTCACGCCGGGATCCCCAAGTCAACCAGCAACAACTGCAACAGGTACATTGTTGACCTCACACTGAAGGACTGATATTATATCTAAAGGAGTATGACACTTGTTGGTTTTTCAGGTTCAAACCTTGTTAAATATTTGGTCCACCAAACTCTTGGTGCTTTCCAAGAGATATCTTTAAATTTACTTCCCCTCTCAGATACTATACTCCAGTAGTATCAAGTCTATACACAGGTGAAAGATTTTTGTTTTCCCAAGCCTGCTGTTTCATTTTCCTTCGTATGCTCAGGAGGCTGTTGCTGCCACGTTCTTTGGAAAAAACTGCTAGTCTATCTTAGCTGTAGAGGAAGGATAATGTTAGGAAATTATATTCTTCAACAAGAGCTTTCTGAAAGCTTTGTCATGTACAGAATGTTCGTATCATTTTCAACAGTTTGATAGGTACTTCCACAATTTTTATATTAATAAATACTTCCTGTAGGAAGTTTGGAAAACAGCAGAATATAAAAGGAGGGCATTCATTATTTCACCACATAAATTTTTTTTATAAAGTATTTTAATCTCCTACGTTTTACATAGTTACCATTATATAACATGCAGGACTATATGCTGCTGTCATTTAAGAAAAGACTTTTTATAGCTAACTAAGCTCGTTTTTTATTGCTGCATATTTCATCTCTTTGATGTTATAAAGCTATGGTTTTAAGGAAGAGGGGAGCGGGGAGGGAGGGGGACAAATGAGCTGATGCCAGGGGCTTAAGTGGAGAGCAAATGTTTAGAGAATGATGAGGGCAATGAATATACAAATGTCCTTGACACAATTGATGTACAGTGAACCCTCGCCACTTCGCGCTTCGACTTCCGCGGCTTCACTCTATCGCGGTTTTTGTGTAACAGCGCATGCTCTGTCATTACTGCCACTGATTGGCTCATACTGTACACGCTTGATGCCATAAATAATATAATAAATAATAAATGATAATTGTGATGTCCAAAATGTTTTACTGTATTTCCCCTTTTTCGTTTAATAAATTGGGTAATACGAGTGTAATGGTGACTAAAGGGTGTTTTTTCATGTCCTCTATGCTCTAACTACGAAAATATTTTATTTACAAATAAGGAATCCTACTTCGCGGAATTTCCTTTATCACGGTAGGGTCTAGAACCGATTAACCGCGATAAACGAGGGTTCACTGTATTAGTGATTGTGAGTTTTATGAGCGCCTAATAAAATGTTTTTAAAAAATAAATAAAGCTGTGTGCAAATCAGATTATGTGTTAACCGTAGAATTTTTGGGTCAACTTTTTAGATTCTTTTATTAGTGCCAGTTTGTTTTATAGAAAAAATATCTCAATGGGTTAAAGTAACTAATTGTAATAACCATCTATTCAATATGTTTTAGTTAATAGGATTGAGAATCGCGTTTTACATTTCCGCAATGTGTAGATCTAACATTTGAATGCTGTGGAAGCACCAAGCAAAAAGGGCAATTTGACGAGTATTCATGCAACTTAATTAGTTTATAAATACTTTGGTTCACATATGAAGTTCGAAAGACGTGCGTTTCCATTATTGAGAATGCTCCTTTCTTGATTCATTGCTTTTGTATTCCTAATATCTTGAGGTCCTACATCCTTTTTTGCAGCTCATGGACATGGGCTTCACAAGAGAACATGCCATGGAAGCCCTGTTGAACACGAGCACCATGGAGCAGGCTACAGAGTACCTTCTAACCCACCCTCCTCCAATCATGGGAGGGGTTGTTCGGGTGAGTTGGTTCAAGCCCAGGGCTCTAATTTTCCAGAACTTTGGTTTCGCTACTAGCATATCCCCCATCTCATCCTTCCTAAATATTGTAACTTTTGTTTTGGCTTTTTTCCTTTAGTAAGGTGTAAGCCAAGTAGGGTTTGGCCTTAGAGACCAGCATTCAAAACCCCTCTCCATTCTTCTGTTTCCTTGTTTATTGGGGGACCTCATTGGGTTTCTTTGATTTGGGTGAGTGTGGTTGCTGGATTTTCTGTTGTTGCTCTGTAGGATCTGAGCATGTCAGAAGAAGACCAGATGATGAGAGCAATTGCTATGTCTCTTGGACAGGATATCCCAATGGATCAAAGGGCGGAATCACCTGAGGTAAATAGGAAACATGGTATCCAAAAGGGTTATGAACATTCTACTACTGCTACTGCAAAGTAATTGATGGGATTAAAATCTAGAAAAAGAAATGGAAGTATGTCTTCATCCCAACTGTACATTATTGATTTAATTTGTATTGCCCTGAAGCATTTGGTGAGATAGATGAAACATTAATTTTTGTAGATAAGAGAATCTAAATATATATGATAGTATACTTCAAGCCAATCTTGGCTATGTATTTCTATTTATCCATAACTCTAATATGTTGTACTGGCAGAGACTAGAGGAAAATGCCTAGATCAGGGGTCCTCAAACTACTGCCCGTGGACCACATGCAGCCCGCCGAGGATATTTATCCAGGCCACCAGATGTTTTTGCCCCATCTTGTTTTTTACTTAAAAACAAGATATGTGCAGTGTGCACAGGAATTTGTTCATAGTTTTTTTTAAACTGTAGGGCAGCCCTCCAACGGGTCTGAGGAACAGTGAACTGGCCCCATTTAAAAAGTTTGAGGACCCTTGGTCTAGATCATTATGTTGGAAGTTGTAAAGAATGCTGCAAATAAAGTGGCAGTGCGGTGGAGTGTTGGAGGTGCCCTTCCTCTGCCTGCTCAGTCTTCCCTTGATTTATATGGCTGCTGCCTCATAGTTTTTGACATATTAGACTAATGCCTTTTTTTTTGTTGACCCACATGAGTCAGTGATGTGAGTGACTCAGTGATGTGAGTGACTCAGTGATGTCAGTGAGTAAGTGGAGTGAGTCAGTGATGTGAGTGAGTGAGTGGAGTGACTGAGTGAGTGAGTGTGAGTGGAGAGTGATGTGATGTCAGTGATGTGAGTGGTGTCAGTGAATGAGTGGTGTGAGTGAGTGATGTGAATGAATGTCTGAGTGATGTCAGTGATGGATGAGTGAGTGGATTGAGTCAGTGATGTCAGTGAGTGAGTGATGTGATGGGCGTGCGTGAGTGAGTGAGTCGGTGGGCCGAGAAGAAAGCGGGCCATTAGCCAGCTCTGGTGGGGGGAGGTTCAAGGTCACTTGCTACTAGAAGCTGGCCTGGTATTGATCCGGCCATACTACAACGAATTACCTTTCTCCAAAGATCCTGCTAACAGCCAGGTCGCAGTTTGAAACCAGCAGCAATCCCAAGGGAGAAGGATGAGGCTTTCCACTCCTGTAAAGAGTAGCAGTCTCTGAAATTCACAGGGTCATTCTACTTTGCCCTGTGGGGTTGCCCTGAGTCATGAAGGCTCATTCAATGGCAGCGAGTGAGTTGGAAGGCTTCCCTAGTTTGGCAGTTCCTTTCATTCCTGGCCCGCCCCAACCCCAGCGGGAAAATCGACCAGAAGGAAAAATTGTCCAGGAACCGGGTACAGACGGCATCCTCTCAACAAGTACCCACCTGAGTCAGTGATGTCAGTGAGTGAGTGGAGTTTGGCAGTGATGTCAGTGAGTGAGTGAGTGAGTGAGTGAGTGAGTGATGTGAGTGAGTGGTGATTGATGTGAGTGAGTAGTGACTCGACTAATGCCTTCTTAAGGGTCTCCTTTACTTTTCCTCTTTCAACTCCCCCCTTATGGTATCTTCCTTTATCTGTCTCTAGGAAATTGCTTGCCGGAAGGAAGAGGAGGAAAGGAAAGCTCGTGAAAAGCAAGAAGAGGAAGAGGCTAAATGTCTAGAGAAGTTTCAGGATGCTGACCCATTAGAGCAAGATGAGCTTCACACTTTCACAGATACCATGTTGCCTGGCTGCTTCCACCTTCTTGATGAACTGCCAGACACTGTTTACCGAGTGTGTGATCTGATTATGACAGCCATCAAGCGTAATGGAGCTGACTATCGTGATATGATTCTAAAGCAAGTGGTCAATCAAGTAAGCTCTCCAGGGACCCAAAGAGAAAATCATTTGAAGTGTTTTATTTTCATTTGAAGTATCTTATTGTCAATCAAATTTGGTTCCTGAAAAATTTTTGCATTGAAGTCCTTATAAATGTGTTCTCTCTTTGAATTCTTAAGAGCTGATAATCTAGGTCTTGCTTGAAATTTCCTGGAACCGTGACTATACCTACTCCCCAAAATATCTTTAAGGACTTTGTAAGAAGGAGCTTTCTTTTATATTTTTGTTTATTGATCATTTTATTGGGGGTCTCTGACAAATCTTCTAACCATCATTCAACTGTATTAAGCACACTTTTTTTTAATCATCCTTAGATTCGTCACAAATATGCCTATTTTTATGAAAAACATTTCCCTCTAAATTTATGTCTTTTTAAAAAAACTTTCTTGAGAGTTAGGGTGGAGGCTGACATTTCAGATCCTAACTTTTTGTGTTTAATAATGTATACAATTTATCAAACCTCAATAGCTTGCCCTACCTCCTTTTTAAGACAGCATTTTTCATCCTTATGTTACTGATTAATATAATATTATAGAAGAAGTATAAAAAATCAATTTCCCCCAAAAGCCACACCCAAAGATAAAACATTCAGATTTTTGTTGTGTTTTAATTCTATTGGGTGATGGTAGTGTTTAAAATTATTGAATTACACACACGCACACACACACACACACACACACACACGAGGGGAATGAGCAACAGAAAAGTGGGTGAAGGGAGATGGCGGTTGGTGTAAAATATGAAAGTAATCATTTATAATTTATCAAGCGGTCACCGGAGAACTGGCAGCAGGTCAAAAAGAAAGTAAATATTTAGAAAATGGTGGGTACAACAGATGTACAAATATACTTGATACAACTGATATATGGAGTGTAAGAGCCCCCAATAAAATAATTTTTTAAATTTAGAATATTTTGACCATATCTTGTCCTACTTGATTTTGCCATTTTTTTGTTCTAGGTATGGGAAGCTGCTGATGTATTAATCAAAGCTGCTCTTCCTTTGACAACAAGCGACACTAAAACTGTGTCAGAATGGATCAGTCAGATGGCCACCCTGCCCCAGGCTTCTAATTTGGCTACTAGGATATTACTTTTAACGCTTCTTTTTGAGGTAAGGTAAATGATGTGTGGCTTTTAGGTCTTCTCATTCATCAAATAATTACTTAATACTTAAGCAAATGAGATAATGAAGAAGATGCAGAATAATGTAAGCATGTTCCCTGCATTTCATAAGCACGATAGTTTTTGTTGGGTTAAAATATGCTTGATTAATTACAAAATATTCTATGCTGCATGGATGATATAAGCGATTTTTGAATTTAGAAAGTTTCTGGTTCACTTCTGAGTAATTGGAGGATATCTTCTCAAAGTGGTTATTGATTAAAAGGAATCATAAGGCTTTGGGGTACAGGGTATTTATAGTTTGGTCCTGAAATGTTTTTGTCAACCCAGCAGCTAATACCAGAAATACAGTGCTGAGTAATTGACTCCCAAGTGCTGGGGTTAAAAAAAAAAAAAACACCACTGCTATTGTGTAGCAATTCTGTAGCACCAAAGACCCAAACCCCCTTGGGTTCCAATACTGTAAATCTTTTTGAAAGCGGGCTGCTACATGTTTCACATGCAGGTCTGTTTGAAGTGAAGTATGTTACTACTGGCTTTTAATATTTGAAGCCTTATATCAACCCTGCCATTAACCAGGTTTTTTTCTCAGTTCTATTTTCCCAACGGGATGTGTGCTCGCTCTATGTCTGTGTCACATTTTGGTAATTTTTACAATATTTCAAAATTGCATGATGCTTTTGTACACATTAAAGACTATAGTATAGTGTGCATGTGATTTTTTTTACTTTCTCTTAAACATAAGCAAATACCGTCTACCCCAAAGCCTTAAGATTCCTTTTAATTAATTACCACTTTGAGAAGATATCCTTCTCTAATTGCTCACAAGCTCTTCCTAAACTCACAAAATCACTTAACATCATTCATGCAGCATAGAATATTGTATGAATTGAGAAACAAAAAAATATGACTAACTTTATTACACTATTTGCTTTATTGGAATGGTCTGAAACAAAATCCAAATTCTGAGTTATAACTATAGAGCAGAGGTCAACAGAGGCTTTGAGAATCTGGAATTAATTGTGCAGTGGCTTCACACTTTCAGTTTTGGAGTGATGAAAGGTCTTACAAATAGATGATGGTGGTGGATGCTCAACATAAAGCTGACAATATAACTGACTTGTACACTTAAAAGTAGTTAAAATGGCAAATTTTAAATTTTGTATATTTTACTGCAGTAAAAAAGAAATACCGATAACTTTCTGCTAGTAACATGAGGCTATATTGAAAGTTTTCTTTATTCCCAATAACATCATGAATATTTTCCCATGTCAAATACATAATGTTTGCTGTTTTGAATATTTTATTTGTTTAATATTGCATTAAAGAAGAAAGTGTTTCCTTTTTCTTCAGTGTAGTTTGATAAGTTCTCTATAAAAATCAAAAGTTTTTTTTTTTAATCATTTTGTTAGGGGCTCATACGACTCTTACCACAACCCATACATACATCAATTGTGTAAAGCGCATTTGTGCATTCATTGCCCTCATCATTCTCAAAACATTTCTTCTCCACTTAAGCTTTAGGTCCTCATTTTTCCCCTCCCTCTCCGCTCCCCCCTCCCTCATGAGCCCTTGATAATTTATAAATTGATATTTTTTCATATCTTGCCCTATCCGACGTCTCCCTTCACCCACTTTTCTGTTGTCCGTCCCCCAGGGAGGAGGTCACATATAGTTCCTTGTAATCGGTTCCCTCTTTCCCACCCACTCTCCCTCTACCCTCCCAGTATCGCCACTCCCACCACTGGTCCCGCAGGGATCATCCGCCCGGGATTCCCTGTATTTCCAGTGCCTATCTGTACCAGTGTACATCCTCTGGTCTAGCCAGACTTGCAAGGTAGAATTCGTGTCATGATAGTCGGGGCGGGGAGGAAGCATTTAGGAACTAGAGGAAAGTTGTGTTTTTCATCATTGCTACGTCGCCCCCTGACTGGTTCGTCTCCTCCCCGAGACCCCTCTGCAAGGGGATCTCCAGTGGCCTGCTAATGGGTTTTGGGTCTCCACTCCGCACTTCCCCCATCATTCACTATGGTAAGAAAAATTAAAAGTTTTAACAACTTCATTATAGAGACTACACCCTAAATGACCATCCCTGATTATGCTGATTGCTAACTTCTTCTTTATTTAGCATGTAATAATATGTTGAGCCACACTGAATCTATATGTACCCTGAGATAATTATCACAAACATCGTGGACATTGAAAATATTTTATTGAAATTCCTTAGATAAGAAATACAAGATTTAAAATCATTTTACCTCGTAGATTACACAGCTGGTTAGTGGTAGATGTGGAACTTGAATTCATCTAATTCTCTTATATACCATATATACTTGAGCATAAGCCAACCCAAATATCAGCTGAGGCACCTATTTTTACCACTAAAACAGCATTACAAATATGGTGGAAAACTCGTCTTATACACCAGTATATACGGTACTAATTCTGTTACCTTATGTTACCTATGCTGTGTCAATTTGTTATACTGAGTAGACATTGGTATTTTATTTCTTTTTTAAATCCTCTTTGATTAATCAATAGGAGTTGAAGCTACCTTGTGCTTGGGTTGTTGAATCTAGTGGCATCCTTAACGTCCTAATCAAACTCTTGGAAGTAGTTCAGCCCTGTCTACAGGCTGCCAAAGAGCAAAAGGAGGTACAGACCCCAAAGTAAGTCACTTGTATCTACCCTATTTTCAGTTCAATGGGATGTGGCCCCTAGAGTTTACTGCTTAAATTGGGGAAATATCTGTGACAAATCTCAGGTTTTCTTGTTCTTTGAAGCTTGTCAGTACTTGATGAAGCTAAGATTTGTGCTGTTCTCTGGCTTGCACAGAACCAATTTTTCTCCTTTTTAGATGGATCACCCCAGTGTTGCTCCTGATTGATTTTTATGAAAAAACAGCCATCTCCTCAAAAAGGAGATCCCAAATGACTAAGGTACGTACTTAGAGGCAATGATAGACCAGAATAGGATACTAGATTGTAGCGAAGAATGCTAAGGTATCCTTCTCTTAAGAACCTTGGTGGCTAGGTCTTCTGAACAGGGAATTAGTTTTATCATTTTTTTCTGATGGCATAGTGTTTGTACATTGAGCTGCTATCCTCAAGGTCAGCAGTTTGGAGCCCCCAGCTGCTCTGCTGGAAAAGAACTGGGCTTTTTACTCTTATAAAGAGTTTCTCAGGAAACCCACAAGGGCAATTCTACTCTGCCCTATAGAATTGCTTTGAGTCGGCATTGACTTGATGGCAATTAGTTTGGTTTGTTTCTGTGGAGCTAATAACCGAAAGGCCCACAACCTTACCCTGGAAGTTAAATGATAACTTTCTCCAGAGTAGGAATGCCTCTTCTATTAAATGAAGGACTCGGTATGCATTAACTCCTCCAAAGCCAAGTGTTTCTTATATTATGGTTGTTACGTGCCACATTATCTCAGTACCTTCTTAGAAGCAACATTTTTGTTCCAGTATACCTATAATGAATGTTTGTCTGTGATAGGAAATGCTTGCCATTAAAAAAGGATGGCAGGAAAAATGTAGTTTGGGGATGTAGACAAGATTTTTTTGCCTTGAGAGGAGCTAAAATTAGGGAATTTAAATGGGTAAAAATTTGTCTCAGTTCTCAAAATTTATTAAACGCCCAGTATATTTGTTATATTCTGCCTCATCCATGAACACTGATGACATTACTTATTTCTTCTAAAGACTAAGCCTGGTCGGAAATACAAAGTAACTTTGAACTTTGCATCTTTTATTTTAGTACCTACAGTCCAACAGCAACAACTGGCGCTGGTTTGATGACCGCTCTGGACGTTGGTGTAGTTATAGTGCAAGCAACAACAGCACTATTGATTCTGCCTGGAAATCTGGAGAGACAAGTGTCCGATTCACTGCAGGCCGAAGAAGATACACTGTCCAGTTCACTACAATGGTGCAGGTATTAAAATATAAGTTAAACCACTTTAATAAGCTTTATAAAGGGAATGTAATTTTAAATGTTTGATCAACAGTGTTCCTCCCAGAGTTGCGGTTTTCAGTGGTATCTACACTATTGGAAATTTTATGCTTCACTGTGGAATTTTGTATATGTCAGTTTCCTTCTGGGAATTTGATGTTATCTCTCTGTAAGTAATAAAGGCAGCATAAATTGCCTGTCTCCCTTCATGTTAGTACATTTTGCTTGAACAGTGCTTCCTCTTCTTCCCTCTTCCCCTAGTTCTTTTTTTTTTTAAAGAAGTCTTATCTGCTTGACTTCATAGGTTAATGAGGAAACAGGGAACAGACGCCCAGTCATGCTAACTCTCCTCAGAGTACCACGACTAAATAAAAATTCAAAAAATAGTAATGGGCAGGAACTAGAGAAGACACTGGAAGAAAGCAAAGAAATGGACATAAAACGTAAAGAAAATAAAGCCTGTGGTATGGATTTTACATTTGAATCATTCCCTTTAGGTCTGGTCCCTAGGGGCATAGCTGATTTTCCGAATGTCTGTTATCGTAAAGGTCAGCAGTTTGACCCTCACACAATAATGCCGCAGGAGAAAATCTTGAGAATCTGATTCTATATATAGTATATCCGAGAAAACTCTATGCAGCAGTTCTATTCTGTAGCACATGAGTCTCCATGAATCAAAATGGATGCAGCAGCAGATTTAGTTTTGATTTGGTACCTTAATGGCTTGAGGTATGAGTAAGTTTTTTCAAATTAGTATGCTTAGAGATTCAAAGTCTTTCTTCAGACCTTAAAATTAATGTTCTGTTTTTCTTAATAGCACCCAAGTGCTTTAGCAAAGGAGAAAGTGATTGAGAATGAAAATATAAGTTAAACCACCCAAACTCAATTATTTATCTTTCGTAGATGTTCCCTTGGCCCTGGAGAGTACAAGTACAGAGAAGGAGACCAGCCTGGAAGAAAACAAAATTGCAGAGATCCTAATCCAAGGACTGACAGAGGATATGGTGACCGTTTTAATCCGGGCCTGTGTGAGCATGCTGGGAGTCCCTGTGGACCCAGATACTTTGCATGCCACTCTTCGCCTCTGCTTGAGACTTACCCGGGACCACAAATATGCCATGATGTTTGCAGAACTGAAGAGCACCCGCATGATCTTGAATTTGACCCAGAGCTCAGGCTTCAATGGGTTTACTCCTCTAGTCACCCTTCTCTTAAGACACATTATTGAAGATCCCTGTACCCTTCGTCATACCATGGAAAAGGTGAGTCATGTTGGTGTCAATATCTTCCTCTTTTAAAACACTTGTAACATATACTATTTATTCATTAACAGTAAACTCAGCATTATAACTTTTGCTTAAGCAAAGTTTATGTAGTGCACATTTTTTTTCTCCTTAGTGCACTTCATGGCCGCCTTGTACTTAGGAACGCCATACAGCACTTCAAAATTACACATGGGATCCATTTAAAATAGCAAAGCCACTAACAAAACACAAAAATATAACGTGTACTTGATGCCGCGGTTTCTTGAGCAGAGAATGAACATGGAAAGCGAATAGACACCCTGACACACAGACTCAGAGACAATACAGGGCTGCAGCACAAAATAGACACAGACGGTACAAAACTGCAGCAGCTTGACAGCCCGCCGTGCTTTATTATTTATGTACTAAATACTGGCAGTGTTCCCAGACAAGTTTGCTATTCCCACACTTGAATTTCTCATAACTTTGAGAGTTTCGTATCTCGGCCCATACCGTTGTTTAAATTTCTACCAGGGAAACACTGCTTGCAGCTGCTTCCACAACCTTACCGTTTGCAGTAAGAATCTGTTTATGAGAACCAACTAGAACAGTCGTTTGCATACTCTCCTAGTCAGATACATGAGTCAAGACACAGTGCTCCTCTCATGGCTCCTTCAGTATTCAATAGGACATGAAAAGTCTGCTTATTAATAGTATGAGAACTGAGACAGAAGCACCACAGCTAGGAGTGTGTGGCAGGTTGTGATCAGGTGACTGAACTTTTTTTTTCCCTGTCTGGGCATATATGTCTTAAATGACCACAAAAGCTCTGTGAATGTTGATTAGGGGATAATAAATTTAAGGAAGTAGGTGAATCCACAAAAAATTGAATCCATAAGCAATGAGAATTGACTATACCATTAACTCACCCAAAAATATTTTCTGGCTATATTCTAGGATATTTCTTAAGTATGGTTAGTACATTATCCTATTAAGTGAACCCCAAAAATATACTTTCTACTCTCTGATAACCTTAGACCAAACCAAAAATTAGTGAGGGCAGGTTCATGCCTTGAACACATCATTCATTCATTAGAGTACTCAGGCCTTCACCAAAGAGCTTGTTTTTCAATGCATGAGGATGTGGGATGTGCAAATGTCTTACTTGTAAAGCTATTCCTCCTTACTTATTTATAAAATTTTCTTTCCTAAGAATTGCCAGCAGTCATCTTGTGAATGTTAACAGGATGTTACCTCCATTTTCCCCTCTTAGGATATTGTTTTCCACATTTCTAAATGTTGCTAATTTTTTTGGTCAATGTTTAATAATGGGTTTCCTTAGATATTCCTAACAATTGGATCCAAACATGGAAACATTTTTTTTAATTTGTTTGACTTAAAATTAGAAATGTTACTAATTAAACTACCATATGTATATCTCAGATTCTTCAGACAGTTCTTCCCCCAACCTATTACTGTGCAAAGTCGAGAAGAACTGTTAGAGGCATCATGTAAAATGTAAGATGGTGTGACAGCCTAACAGAGGAGTAACAGCTTTGTGAGGAGGTACCCCCCCTAAAAAAAACCAGAATTGTCACTGGACAGTGTGGAGCTTTCATAGTACATGTTTTTCCAGTTCGGCGAGCATCTGGCACAGCAGTTCTCAATATTCCTAATGCTGCGACCCTTTAATACAGTTCCTCATGTTGTGTTGACCCCCAACCATAAAATTTTCTTTGCTACTTCATTACGGTAATTTTGCTACTGTTATGAATCGGCGATTCCTGTGAAAGGGTCTTTTGACTCCCCCAAAGGCTGAGAACCGTTAAGTCTACCAGCTCACTCTTGAGTTAATGCACCCAGTGGCGTTCCTGGGAAGGTTTTCTCTGGTCTCAGCGACTTTTTTCAGAAAACCTGTTTTGCTCGAACCTCATTTTTTGCGATGGCTGATTTAAGAGGACAATGTATGGCTATGAAATTTTGTTTCCTGCTTGGGAAAACATGCCTCATACTGTTGTTAAGTTGAACACAGCTTACAAGGACAGTACTATGGGGAAAACTCAAGTGTACGAGTGGTTTCCTCATTTTAAAAAAGGTGAAATATATTGATTGATGACAAACCTCCTGCGAATCTGTCAACATCCTGAGCAGACAAAAATGTTGACTCGTAGTGCAGTTCGTTCCACCAGATCAGACTGCTAATCAGGCTTTCTATTTAGAGATTTTGAAGAGTGTGAAACCATGTGCAACAAACAAAAGGCCTGATTTGTGGCAGACAAGGGACTGGTTTTGCCACCCTTACAATACACCTCCTCATGCAGCCAACTCGGTGTGCCAGTGTTTGGTGAAAAACAGTGCGACTGCTTTTTATTTTTACAAATACAGAGGGACATGACAGGACAAGGACTAGGGAGGTGCTGTCAGCCATTCAAGCAGATGAGCTTGAAAAATGTTTCCAAGAATGGAATCGCATTATTAAGTATAATGGAGAATACTTTGAAGGTGTGATGCAGTTGTTTTGTAGAAAAAGTAAAATGCATAGCTTGGTGGGGGGGGGGATTCTGGGTTGCTTTGTTTTGGTGGTTACCCCCTTGTATTTAATTGAGTTTAAACCCCAAAAAAGTATCTATTCCTTAAAAATACTAGGAAGAGATATCCTTGCTGAATGAGAGACTTTCTAGTCTTGTATTTGGTGGCACAGGGGACAGAGGAAGCATTGGCAGTATTAATATTTCAAGGCGGCAAAATAGAGATACTTGATATAATATCCATTGCAGGTACGGGTGTGGAGAACCAGGCATACTCTTAATTTTGGTAGGAGTGGAAATATGTGCAGCCACATTGGAAGGCAATTTGATAGTCAGTTTAAGATATACTTTGACCGAGAAATTCAGTAGCTAAGGGTTTATCTGATTACTAAAGTCAATTATGCCAGAATGTTCGCTGTAGAATTGCTTGTGATACCAACAAACTAGAGATAAATATTCAGCAGTTGAAAACAGGATAATAAATTATGGCACATTCCTTATAGTAAAATTACAGTGTTCCTATATATTTTTAAAAGATTAAAGTTACCTTATAATGGTAGCTAAATAAGCAAGATACAGGTTATTGTGTTTATTTAAATAACATGAACGATTTGGTAAGAAGATTATTAAATTCTGGAAGATATTTATTTGCCAGCATATAGTTCACAAAGGAGTGGATTATGCACTGGACTTACTTATACTTTCCTATATTTCCATGATTGACAAGTAGTTTTATCGGAACAAAAGCATTCTAGTTTCTATGCCATTTTGGTACTAAAGCAGACTGAATCGTTTGATATCTCCTGTGGCTATGATAATCTGTGGCATAAAGAAAACTGTGTGGGTATCGATGCTACATATTTTTAGGGTTTTAACCATTCTAATTTCAAATGGCAAAAGGTTTGGGACAGCTATGGACTAGCACTTTAAATGTGAAGGCTATATAAATCTGAATGGATGATAAATGGTCTGGAAAATGAACATGTACATTCTAATCTAATTGTTAATAGTGATATGTTAAGGTGAATGCTTAAGCTTTTTTATTGTCTACATTTTTTTTAATTGGAAAGGATTGGATTAAAAGACTAAGTATAACTTTCAAAATTTCTAAACTTTGATCCACTGACTTGAAGCAGAACTTGGTTTCTTATCAATTTAGTTCTTGGTTAACTCTTCCTTGATGGTAATTATGCTTTTAGAAAGGGATTAATTAGCAGTGTTTCTCTCTTTGTTAGGTGGTTCGCTCAGCAGCTACAAGTGGAGCTGGTAGCACTACCTCTGGTGTTGTATCTGGCAGCCTTGGCTCTCGAGAGATAAACTACATCCTTCGTGTCCTTGGGCCAGCTGCATGTCGCAATCCAGACATTTTCACAGAGGTCGCCAACTGCTGTATCCGCATTGCTCTTCCAGCCCCACGCGGATCAGGAACTGGTAGGATTCAATTGCTTCTCCTCTCTGATATACTGCAGTCTATGGCTTATTGTGAAAGGGTTTTAAAAAATCCATGAAAAAAATGAATTAAAATATAATGAAAATTTTTCATCAACTTTGGAAGTCCCTTAACTCCAAAGATTTTCTGTGAAATCTGTAACTTGTAAAACCTCCTTAAACTATTAATTAGTTGGTCAGTTGTGTCCATTCTGTACATACTTCTAGATATAATCGCTGTGGTATAATTGCTGCCAAAAGAATCATTTAGTCGTGTTCTTGCCTTCAAGGGGCTTGATTTGGTGGCTTACCAGGATTTCTGTAATGTTAATGGGTTGTAAGCAATGTGATAAATCGAGGGACAAATGAATGTGATAAAATGGGAAATATATATTGTCATATGTAAGTATTTTTTCCAATCCTAAAATGTTTGTGGTAGAAAACAAAATATTGGAAATACTGAAAGACGGTGCGTATAAACCTCAAAAACATTAATGACACAAAAGGGGGAAAATGTGCTACATACAAGGAGATAAAAGAATAGGTAAATGTATAAGGTACCAAAGTATATTCATTGCAGCCAAGACCCTGAGAGAGGGAGAGAGGAAGGGAGTGTCATTGCTTGGAAAAATTGAGTTTCTGTTACTTGTGGTTTTTGTTTGTTTGTTTGTTTGTTTGTTTGTTCAATAAAAAGTTGGGGAGGGCTTAATTTTTGGAGCCGTAGCTACTTCCCTGACCCAGTGTTGGGTCATTTTCACATGAAATGAAAGATAAGACTCTAGTCCCATAAATATGGAAAACCTCTGAACCCAAATTGGCATTACCATGTCTTATAGAGTCACTGTGAGTTAGAGTCAACTTGAATTTGGGTTTGAATTTTGAGTCTCAGTCATCAAAACCATTGAATTTTTGTAAATGAAAAAAAAAAGATTTATTGAGATCATTTGCTATGATCTAGTAATAGAACAAATCTATACTCTTTCTGCTCTTTGTTGTATTAAAGCTTAAAGACGCTAAAAGCTAGATTTTCTAATAGGCTACTTTAACATTTGTTGGTAATGATACCGTATTTCTAACTTGTACATTACACAAGCACTCTTCTGAGTCTTTGTCAGTAACTAAATTTAAGCCTTGGTTCATTATTGACTGACTTTCTCCCCTTCACTTTGGCTTAGCTTCAGATGATGAATTTGAGAATCTTCGAATTAAAGGCCCTAATGCTGTACAGTTGGTGAAGACAACTCCTTTGAAGCCCTCACCTTTGCCTGTCATTCCTGATACTATCAAAGAAGTGATTTATGATATGTTGAATGCTCTAGCTGCGTACCATGCTCCAGAAGAAGGTAGGTAGCTAGCTAATCCACCTCAAGAGGCCTAGCCACTGAGAGAGAAGTGTCTTTGCCTAGGTGCTCCCTCACTATTCACCCAAACACCATGAATCAAAATGAATAAGACATGCAGTGTACTTCTCTGAAGAAGCTAATAATCATAAAGTATGTTAGATGCATGTGGAATGGTTTCCTGGGAGAAAGCACTTAACTGGGAAGGGTGACAAGAAGAAAGCTTCTTAAAATAAGTGATTTTTTTTCTTGGTAGGGACTGAGCATGGTAGTGGGACAGGAGGAGAGAATCAAGGGAAATAGAGGAAAGAGCTGGGAGGCAAAGGGCATTTATAGAGGTCTAGATAAAGACATGTACATATGCAAATATATTTATATG